CCTTCCCCTCCTTCCCCAAATAGTCGCGAAGGCCCTACTGCTAAATAGTCATTGAATCTGACGTGATAAATGACAAGATGCCGCGCGTTGTGCTGTATAATTCTTCCAACCAACATTGGGCGTCTGGGTGGGTAACAACTCTCTGAATATCTGCAGCACGTGTGTGTGTGTTACTGGGTGGGGAATTAAAGGGTGGTGGGACACGGTACTTCCTTCCGTATGTGTGTGAGGGAGATATATATTAGCGCGAATCTTTCTGCCTGACATGCTGCAGGTGCATTTGTCCAGAAATTCTATTTCTAATACCCTGATGCAGGCACTCATCCAGAAGAGGGCTAATAATCGTTTTCTACCTCCAGACCATAACCATTCACTCCCTCTCTCTCTCTCATAGCCTAGTACCGATCTCGCATAAACCCACCTAAATGGCAAATTAAGTCTTGTGACTGCCTGTTTTGGGATGTTTTCAGACCCATTAGTAATAAGACGAATTGCATTCAATTCTCATTTTTTGCTTTCAGAAATATCACAAGAACAATGTTGCCCTATAAACTGCCAGAACACGAAGCAACATTTCATCCTCCATCTTTCAGCAGTTCTGATAGATGGCAATCGTCATCTTGGTGTCGAAGTCCACCCATCCCTCAAGGACCAACCTCTATTCAGGAACATCACTCCTTTCACAATAATCATACCAATAATAACGGTGCTCATCGAGAGTTCTTCCATAAAGACGACTCATCTCAACAGCCAAATCATCTACCCTCGGTGCCAGATCAAGTACATCTGGAGAATTCTGGTTTTGGAGGAATACGAGAAACCAGAGAACTATCAAAATGGGAGATAGAAGAGGATTCTAACTCCGCTCCAACCTCAACAGCTGTTCCTACTTCAAATAGTGAAAGTGGAGAAGCCTTTTGGTCTTCGACCCTTTCACGAGTAGCAGCCGTGGCTGCTGCAGCAATGGCCTGTGCGTCGGTGCCTCCAAGAAACCATCGAGATGAACAAACTGACTTTGAAGAAACTTCTCAGCTAGCCAGTGATGAAGCCAACAAAATCGACCTGAAAGAACAATGGAACCGAAGTCAACGTAAACTACACGGAAGAAGGTAAAGCACCGATCTATATCTAAACAGATCTTATTCCATTCTAACAAGTAGTTTATCTTTTAGAAGCCTCGCAAGCGAAAGCACGGACGTTGCGGTTCCCAAAAGACAGCCTCAGATACCATTCGTTGATTCTAGTGGTTCACCATCAGCGAAAAGTGATACACCCGTATCTCTTTCGACAGTTTACCCACCTATTCAATTGCCCCAAATTCAGAATGGCTCATGGACCAGCACAAGTGATATGAACATTCAATGGTCTGCCAATACCTCAAATGATCCTTTAAAGAATGGGAGTAGTTCCATGAATTCCCAATGGCAATCTGATTCTAGTGATCCAACTCAACGATTCTATGGAGACAATCAGTTCGTGAAACCTTTCTCGTATTCAAGTAATGAGGTATTTCGTTCACTTGGTATTAGCTCCAACCTCTCTGAAGATGCTCTTTACGTAATGTCGGCTTCAAAACAAAATCCTGGCGATGGATTCCCCCAATTTCCCACTTCAACCAATACCCCAATCAAGTCTGAACTCCAACCTGAATACTCTCAAGTTCATCAATATTTGGACCCTTGCCAGAGACGTTATCCTGATCCGACTGATTGGTCCCAAAAGCGACTACCACCCCCTTCCAGCTATGAACCAGATTTTAGAGAACGGAAGCCACTTACTGAAATGGGACTCCCTCTAACCCCACATCTGCCAGCGGCTAATTCAACTCCCTGTGACTATTTTCTTGAGTCCAGACAACGACGAGACTCTTATGCAGCATCTATAACTCCACCAAGGGGAGAATTCTCACCCATACCAAACTACTTCAGTCTGTTTTCCAGTGGAGGAAAAGAAGGAGACTCGCATTTTGGACCACCCCCTATGCTTTATCCATCGGTCATGGAACCTGGAAACTCGGGTCCTTTTGGTCAATCATCTGGAGGTTCGCAATTGTCAAATCCACCAAATCGGATGGAACTACAACAACAGCAACAACAACAATTTTGCCTCGTTTGTGGTGATAATGCTGCCTGTCAACATTATGGAGTAAGAACATGCGAAGGTTGTAAAGGTTTCTTCAAGGTAAGTTAACTGCTTCAAGTTTCCCTGAATATTGATCTAGTCACTAGGAGACGAAATTGTTATTTTTCACTTTTATAACTGTTAATTATTGGTTAATTGTTTATTTATTTACATCAAATTTCAGGCGTTCTGATAGTTATCATTAGCCCTTTAGTTGACTTCAGGCTTCACAGAGGGGAGGGAACATCAAAGTGGAAAAAAGGTCGATAGGGGGGGACAGAATAGTGCTTCAAAGACGAAGGTAGAAAAAAGGTGAGGTGAGTACTGTGAAAGTAGTCGAATATAATATACAATGGGGTGAGGGTAGTTTGAAGTCAGAAGTCAACTGCCAGTTAATAGACTTTTTTGCCGTATGAATATACGTTGCCCAGGGTGCACCACGTGGAGGTAAGTCTATCGTACACCCCAATTGGTTAATTGTAAGTATAGTAAAATAACCAAAGACAGTAGAACTGATAAAATTCAATTCTCGATAAAATTTTAATTTCATTTAAAAATATGTTTTCAAGATATTGTTATTAACTCTTATTTACTTATTTATTGTCAATTTTAGCGAACGATTCAGAAGAACGCTCACTACGTATGTCTGCAAACTAAAAATTGCATCGTTGATAAACGCAGAAGAAACCGTTGTCAATATTGTCGTTTCCAAAAATGCCTCAAAGTTGGAATGGTCAAAGAGGGTAAGTAATTAAAGGTGCAAAACCATCCTTTTTTAAATTTTAAATAAATAAAAGCATTCCACAATTCTGATTGCCGGAAATGTTATAATAGGAAGCGGTTTCCACTAAACTCTAACGAATTTGAATCATATGGTGATCGACTTTAGTTATCGTCAGATAATTACAAACATATACTAATTTCTACTCTGAAATCTAAATGGAATAGAGGAAAGTTGTTTAAAAGGTTCTTGGAAACTCCTCAAAGTGTAGATGCATTCGTTCTATGTCAAGCAGTATAATTTATAATAGGTTTTTTTGTCAACAAATGGATAAGTTTATTTTTCCACCTCCTAATAAGTGATCGTCGGAACTTTGCTAATCGATATATTGTATTTACTACTGAATTTATTGAAGTATGGTCTTTTTTGGCAGTGGTTCGACGTGATAGTTTGAAAGGGAGACGAGGTCGACTGTCTGCCAAAGCGAGATGTCCAATCGAGGGCGAAGGTGGTGGTGGTGGTGGAGCAGACAATGCCCACAAAGGGTTCGCAATGAATGTGGCTGGTGGTCATGGGGCAGGGTTTGTGCTTTCCGGAGACAAGGGAGCCCACGCGGGTGTTCTCTCTGTCGGTTATGGTAATGGCAGTGGACCTGCTGGTACCACAAGTAGCAGCGCCAGTTGTATGACGCTTCTCTCAATGCTCACAAAGGCATATGAAACTGTTGATTGCACTCTTGAGGCAGCTCATCTTTTTAAACACCCACCGGGATCGAACTACCTTGCCAAAGATCGTGACCAACAGGTAAGGTTCATCCCATTTTAAAGTGGACGAGGTTGGTGCCAATTATCCAACTCTCTGTTTTCTTCAACTCAATTATGGCAATTATTCGACCCTTTTAAACCTGATCTTCAATCATAAGACTCACATCAATTTTGAGTGAACAAATGTACTTAACTACATTTCTTGTCGGAATTTTACACCATAAACTGACGAAATAATTAGCATAGGATTAAATAATGACATTTAACACTTTTACATTGGCGTTCTTTGATTTTGCGCTAAAATTTAATTCATCCCAATCACTCACAGACCTTAATATTAATAATATCTAATATTTATTTATTTCAAATGGCGGGCTTTATGACACTTATCATTAGCCCTTAGCTGACTTCGGGCTTCACAGAGGGAAGGTTCATCAAAGTAGCAGAAAGTCGAGGGGTGGGGAAGAGAAGAGCGATTCACAGATGTAAAAGAGGCAGACAGACACAAAGGTGGAGAAAAAAGGTAAGGTGAGTACAGTAAAGGGGTCGAATATGACAGCCAGGGGGGTCGTGGTAGTTTGAAGTCAGAAGTCAACTGCCGGTTAATAGACTTTTTTTGCCGTATGAGTATACGTTGTCCAGGGTGCACCACGTGGAGGTAAGTCTATCGCACACCCCATATCTAATATTATAGTATTTTGATTTGAGTATAGAGTATTGAATGGATAAATTGGAATTAAATATCATATCAACAGAGAACCATTTTTAAAGACTAATTAATTGCGCAAGCGCTAAATCAATTGAACTCTTTGTATAAAAGATTATCAATTTTGTACCTCAATCCTCGAATGGAGAACAAACAAACAAAAACTGAAATTTTAAAATAGAGGAATTTATAAAACTATGACTGAATGAAAAAGTTTTCCTAAAGTATTAAATTCACATCCCGGACCACCCACAAAGTAAATTCACAGATTCATTTACCTTACTAAGGCAAATGGTCAAATCAATATCTATATTTTCTAGCCCTATTAATTTTCAAATAGAATCTGAGGAGTGTTGTTGGTTAAAAATAACCTAATCAAATCTCCTAAGTTAAATTTATATCTGAATAATCATTTTGATACCTATTATTTCAGGGATTTGAAAAGGATGAAGATGCTCTCATTCAGATGGCAATTAAGAACCTTGGAGAATCCGTTGAGGTTATCCGACAATACGCCGAATTAGTACCCGGATTTTCTTCCCTCACTGAAGCTGATCGGGAAAAGATTATCCTACTACACTCTGCAGACCTGATCACCTTCCGTATGGCATTTAGGTAGGAACTTCTGCATTGCAAAACGTTATCGACTCTTTAAAAATGACTCCTCTAATCGATATCTTTCTACATTTTTTGTAGGACGGCCAAAGCAGCTGCAGAGCGAGCCCAGTTAAATCTCTTCCATCCAAATAGCACTCAATCAAGTCCCTATTTCAGGCCTCCCATTCCCACAGACACGCCTAGAATACCGCAACAGTCAAATATATCGGCACCTCAACAAACAGGCCCACCTTTCCCCGGTGGCATTGTTGAATGGCATTCTCAANAAACCCACTAAATTTAAGGTCCAATAATGAACAAATGAAAATGCTAATAGTAGAAGTTATTAAAATGAATAACTTTCTTTAAACAACGCATAAATCAATTCATGCTTGGATTTCTTGGTGAAAAATGACCACATTCTAAAATTAATGTAGTTCACAAGAAATAAAATTCAAGGTCATGATTAATTTGGTAATGATTTGCCACTAATTAGTGGGAAAAAAAGCTGATTGGTGTGAAGTCTAGGCTGCAGAGAAACGCGGTTATTGTAGCAAGAAAAATTGAGCAAATTTTAGTCAATTCAAGGAACGCCCATAGCATATCCCAGCTCTCTATTGCTTGAAAAAGGAAAGAAGAGTAAAGAGTTGGTAACATTTATTGATATGTATCATATGACAGGCGTTTTGATAGTTATCACTAGCCCTTTAGTTGACTTCAGGCTTCACAGAGGGGAAGGAACATCAGAGTGAAAAAAAGTCAAGAGGAGGGGGGTGGAACAGAAGGGTGTTTCAAAGGTGTAAAAGAGACAGACACAAAGGTAGAAAATAGGCGAGATGAGTACTGTGGAAGTAGTGGAATATGACATACAGTGGGGTCATGGTAGCTAGAAGTGAGAAGTCAACTGCCGGTTAATAGATTTTTTTACCCGTATGAGTATACATTGCCCAGGATGCACCACGTGGAGGTAAGTCTATCGTACACCCCGAGTTGATAATATGAATGATCGTGCTCAGAATTTAATAAACAAGGGGAACCTCAATGCAGATCCCAAAGCAGACAGCTATAATGACCACCTCTGCTTGATATAACCTCGTAAATATCAGTTATTTAGTCTGCCTCATCATCTCCAAATCTGCATTATTGATTTGAGTTTATCTTTGAAACACGCTAACGTATAAAGAGGAAGGTTTATTCACTCATTAATACCCCTCATTTCATTAACCGAAGTGAAGGTATAATGAAAGCCTTCATTATCAAGAATGATGATATTTATTCCCTTTTCTCTGTTCTGTCAGGCAAGGAGAATTAAAATTTGTCCAAATTAATAAAATCATGGAATAACATATAAATGGATTTAATTTTATTTCACAGAAAATGAAATCTGTTTATCTGTCTTTGCTACCAATGAATAATTTAAACAAAGTATTTAGATACTGGTTTGACTAAGATTTCAAAAAAATGGTGAAGGCGTGGAATTATTCATGCGGAATCCAAATGCCTCTCACAGCTCCTGAATTCTTCATAAGTCTCTGAAAAGAGGTAATTTTACTTGATAAAATAAGCAATCCATTTTACTTTCAATGGATTTGCCCATGTAGTAAATGAATTATTGTAAATTCGATCTCGTTTGACGCGCATGTGAAAGAACATTTTTAATATACGTTTTACTTATTAAACTATAAGTAGACTATAATTTATCCAGGTGCTGGAATTATTCATTGGGATTAGGAGAAGAAAATCTTTGCCACAGAAAAGGACCAATTTCTAATTGTTACTGGAGATTACAGAAGAATTTTTAATGTGAATTTGTCTTGAACCAATTGTTTAAAATTTGAAAGTAGTCTTTACTGCTTCATGGGCCGTTGTCGAATATAATGGAAAAGATACGGACAAATACAAAACCAAAATCTATTATCCCTACAATTTATCAAGATAATTCGCGATAAAAGCAGCCATAATTTCAATCGTGGCAATCAGTGATCAGCCAGATGGTTTGAAATATCGACCATGGCTTTCTCAGTAGCAACGCGTATCTCCTAGAATTCCATTTCTTACTCTTGTTGCACCTCCAAATTTTACAAATAGCATCGTATTATGTTAAAATCTATTAATCTATCACTTCAAAACTGGGATAATGCCATAAGTACATTTGATCAGACACAATGAGAGGAAGGCGGATGCAAGTTCCACATAAACACCGTCTTCAGCGCTTAGCAGAGACGATGCTTCTTTCTCCAGCATATGGATATGCTGATGATAATCGTTCAAAGTAGACAGTATTCGAAGGGAGAACTTTTTCTTGTACTTTTTTAAATTCCGCTCAAATTAATAAAACTAACTAAATCTGCTTCCTCTATTATGAATAAATTTGTTAGTAGTTCCCAAAAATAGAAAGTTGACACGGTAAGAACTGTGGCCTTGTCTGATAGCACGTGATAGCTCATGAATAAGGAGTTAATAGATGGGTATCTCTGTGTTTTACAATTGAGCTAGTAATCCAAGTAACCAATAGCGCAACCTTTGACCTATTTCTAAGGCTGCTTTCGAGAGTATTGTACTTCCAAAAAAACCTCAAAAGTTTACTTAGGCCACCTCATTAAATTAGAATGTCGAGTATTTCGTGAGGCCCGACGTCTAGACTTGTAGTCATAAAACAAATAATTACTTTCTTTGTCTAAAATCCCTCTAACTGGATGATCATTGATGACGAATATAGGGAAGAAGCGATAAGCATCCAAGTGTTTGGACAGGTTGGTGTGTGTGTGTGTGTGTGTGGAGATAATTTAATGACTTTGCCCAACCTCCCATCATACTCATCCCCTCACAGAGAATAATTAGGGAGCGAATAGTAGCAATTAAAACAGCCTCTAATTCATCGTTTTTCTTGTTTCCATTTACGGCTGAATGAGCAACGAGAGAGAGAGAGAGAAAGAGAAATTAATGAGTCCGCTGTCGAGGGCAGAGAAGGAGATGGAAGAAACAAAACAGCAAGCAGTTAGAAGCGCCAGTCATAGAGTTCGGTTGAGGTGAATCACATTTAATTGCCACCCGCTGAGTCTATGTGGTGCACAGAAAAAAAGCGACAGGGGCAAACAAACACGCAGAAAATAAGTCAAATTCCCGCTCTCCCTCCCTCCCCCCTCCCACCCCCCC